ACGATCAAAGACCCGAGCATACGAACATGTTCATACGGCTATTTTAGGCAGACCACAGCCACCAGTGAACACCCACAATAGGCCAGTCTCGCTATCTGTCCGAACCTAAAATATTGCTTTAGGGACTCCTCACTCCAGTGGTGCCAGGAATAAAAAGAATCGAAAATAATGAAATGACAGAGAGAGAGAAAGAAAGAGAGATGAATCGAAAATGTTTTCCTCCAAAATTCGTAAAGAAGTATTTATCTGTATGCTCGCTTATGTAAGGAAATCATATTTCGCCCTTTATATGAAATTCATTTGTTGTAAGTTGATTAAGCGTATATGTCGGTGACGTTGTAATCACACACGCACATATATATATGTAGATATATTTATATATTTAGACCATTACGACCACATATGCACATATTGTAACTACCACAATACAATTAAGTGCATCGTCGTTGAGTAGTGAGTGAAAACTTGTCATTTTCAATGTCTTCTGTGTTTATCCGGTTTTGCGTGCACAAAACACAACCGAGCGGAATATAATCGAGAGAATATTAAGGGTGAAGGGGAAAAGCCTTTAAGCTAAATGCCAAAATCTTGTTAAATATTATTTGTGCTCATCAAGCAGAAATGTGTGGGAATTGATTACAAGATACAAATAATTCTAAACGCACACATACCCACTAACTAAATGCTTAACCATACATACAAAGGAAGCTTCCTTCGAAGCATAAGCATACGTTCAGGCAAAGAAAAAGAAAATTGTACCCCTTTTCACACAAGTTTACAGTTTTGAATGCGGTGAACATATTACGGATAACTTAAATAAAATTTTATGCTTGTTTGTGGTTTTTAAGCAAACATAAAATATTTAAACACATTTTAAGCGTAAACCGTAAGCTATAAATCAAACTATAATAATTTCCGTACAAAATTTTGGTTAAGTCTATGAATGACATAAACATACGTCCGAGAATAGGAAATAATTTTATTTGCCTGATTTTAACACCAATTCCCGATTGATTAATTTACAAGAATTTTTCCGGCAAATTGATATGCGAAGGGTTACATATATTGCATTTTACAGTCATTCGTTCGTTCATTTGTCGAACGATAATATTTGTGAGTAAAGTCTTCAAGTTGTTCAAGAAATTAAATTTAAAATTTTATTTCATTTTAAAGTAAAAGTACATTTATTTGTTTCTTTTCTTCTTGCGTGCCAGCACATGATTAGAAACACTCGTTTGAGTGTGTTTGCCAACAGATTCATTAGCATAATGGCCGAGTTTTATAGTTTTCTTATTGTTTTTTTTTTTTTTTTTTTTTTTGAAATGAAGTGTCATTAAAACTTAGTTATCTAAGGATAATATTATCCATTCCTTTGAATACCTTTTTTCACGGGAACACAATTACCATTAAATAAAATTATGCAATTTAGTCAGCAATTATGTAATCTTTTTATAATAAATGGAAAGTAAGGAGAAAATACTCATTCACCTGCTGTGCATAGTGACGATTCAAATTTTGTGAAAAAGCTTTGATAAGTGCTTTCAAGTTGAACTTGACTTGGACTCGTAGCTCTTTAAGAAGTCGAAGCACTATTCGGTCAAACAATAAGTCATCGATTGAAGTCCATGTTAATCGGAAGGAATAATGTCCGGTGGAAACACAGCGAAGAGATGAGAAAATTCGAAGTTAGCAATGTGAACATTTCCATATGATGTAGTTTGTACTGAAAAGTCACGATATCTTGACTCTTTGCATTCATCAGCCAACACTTGGCTGGTTGGAGCCAAACCATAATATACCATGCTTGCCTGTCCTGAGAAGCATATTTATCATTAGTCACTCTCTGTGTCTCTTTCTCTCTTTCTATCTCTCTCTCTCTCTCTCTCTCTCTCTCCCTAACCATTCCTTTCTCGCTCCTCACTCTCTCTCTCGCTCCATCGCCCTCTCTCTTTCCCCGCTTTGTCTCCTGTTATCACTCTCTCTCTCACTCTCTCTCTCTTTCTTTCTTTCTTTCTTTCTTTCTCTCTCTCTCTCTCTCTCTCTCTCTCTCTTCCTAACCATTCCTTTCTCGCTCCTCACTCTCTCTCTCGCTCCATCGCCCTCTCTCTTTCCCCGCTTTGTCTCCTGTTATCACTCTCTCTCTCACTCTCTCTCTCTTTCTTTCTTTCTTTCTTTCTTTCTTTCTTTCTCTCTCTCTCTCTCTCTCTCTTTCTCTCTTTCTCTCTTTCTCTCTCTCTCTCTCTCTTTCTCTCTTTCTCTCTTTCTCTCTCTTTCTTTCTCTTTCTCTCTCTTTCTCTCTTTCTCTCTTTCTCTCGCTCCCCCTGTTTGTCTCTATCTATCTATTTGTTTTTTCTGCTTTCTATATTCAGCTCAGTCAAAAAGTACGTTAGATATATTCACGCCATTGCCACTCTATATATCTTCCAATCTTACTATATTTCTAGTCGGCGTAATGCTGGCCATATGTTTAATCACTATTGAATCAATGTTGTTCTATCTCTAGAAGTCATCGTCACTTTAAGAGACAATCGGTACAAAAAGCAAAAAGTTCACGTTAAAGTCTTCTAAAAAAAAAAAAAAAGGAGAAAAAAACTTTTTAAATTAATGACACTTTAAACACATCTTTAATCGGTTAGATGATTTAACCGTATAACCGTGTCACTTACTCAAAAATGTTGTTCATCAGAATTCGTCTTGGAGATAATTTTCTATTTTTAGATTAATATTTCACCTATGTTGATATATAAATGATATATACGTATAAATGTCCTAAAGTCAGCTAGGACAATGTTGACCACATACATCTACACGCTCATTATATATGTTCATACACAAAAATAAATAGAAATTCAAGTGCACATACATAAAACACACGCATCTCAACATGAGAAGAGTTTAACTTGCTGACGAAACAGACAAAGGATGTCAGAGACATGTTGGAGTTGTGAATTGTAACCCAAAAGTGAAGCGGATTACAAGCAGTCTTAAAGTAAGAACTTTCATTTGTCTTCAGTAATGTTACTTCATCACTTGATTCCTTGTAGCTGCCCACTGCTCAAGCATATATACATTTGCGTGTGTGCGTGTGTGCGTGTGTGTTTTTGTGTGTATTTTTACATTATGTCATATCTTTTGTCACGTTATTACATTATAATAAATGGCTTTTGTGCATTTGCGCTGAAATCCGTAATGAACCATATGAACCTTTTTCTAGATTGACCCTTCACTTGAACAAAGAAGAATTACATTTGCGCGTTTATGAGCAGGATCTCTTATCATCATCATCATCATCATCATCATCATCATCATCATCATTATAATATGATGCATTAGGGTTTTATTTCCAAACGGTAATTCGTTCCTAATGTCAAAGAACCTAAAGCCAATTTATTGTTTCATTATTTCTTCGCATTGTAAGTCACAAATAATTTAAAATATTATTTACGGTTAAGACGAAGCATTTATTCGTCCCGGTCAATTTACTGGAAGCCAAAGACCACTATTAATAGTTTGTGGAAAAAGTACCAGAAAAATTTTAAATGTTTAAAAAAATATGCGAAGTGTACGGTGAGAGTGCTCTGAGCGAACGAAAGAAGCAGCAGTGCGGTGTCAATGATGCACTTCACTTTGCTCGGCTACATACTGAAAAAGTCGTTAAAATTTTGCAACCGATGAAACAAGACCGATACGGAAACTGTCTGGAGATAACGGAGGCGCTAAACACCAACCACACGGCAGTTTTGAATCATTTGAAAAGAGCAGGCTACAAAAAGGAGCTCAAAAGAAGTCAGAAAAACCGCGAAAACCTTTTACATCACCCATTATAATAAGGTATTTGAGCATTTGTCAACATAAACCCATCGAACCGTAGCCTAGTGAAGTTATTCGCGATTGTAAGTCTCAGCGAAATCCTTCGTCATCTGCGGGGAAGTCTCCCAAATACTTATGACGCAGCCACTATTAGTGATAAAAAATGTCTCATAAATGGTTTCAACTCTTCAAAAACGTTGATTTTGATACCGAAGACATCAGAAAAGAGCAAATTTTCAAAGACAGAGAACTCGAGGCATTTCTTCTTGAAGACTGGCGGCAAAAGCATGTGGAATTCACAAGATCTTTACGAGCGAATCTGTCAACCCACTCATAATGACTACAAATCATGGAAACGATTCAGAAGTAACGTAAAATGATATGTACCCTCGTACCTCGCATAGGGACTTCGCTCTGCCTTTTGTGAAAATCAACTTTGACTTTCATTCTCATTCAAGATCCTGAACAAATAAGGACAACAAGAAACGAGAAAATAATATTTATTCTAGCATTTAGAATCCCAGGAATAGCAATTGTCTTTTGACAGGCTATGCTTACATTCCTCTCAGAAAAATTATTATTACAATATTAATTATGTCGCTTCCGTTTCGAGAGAATCATAAAAGGTTTGTATCGTCTTGAGTAACATACAAGCTTTTCAATCCATTTAAATATTTTCTTTTTTTTTTTTTTTCATTAAACGAGAAGATTATTTTTTTCATTTCTTATTAAAAATTAGAATATCATCGTCATGGTGATATTTACATTCAAATGTAAGATGCAAAGGTATGCTTATGTACAAAAAATACGCATAAAACGTAATAAATGCTTAATTGTGACAGAAAATCTCATCTTTTCATTTTCTCTTTTTTTTTTTTCAAATTTATTTTAACTAAAATTAATTTCAAATCTAAACTGTTTGCATCTTGGCGTCGTTAGGGCTTTTTTATTACAATTACTAACGGGTAACAACGGTGATAATAACCGCTTTTTAATATTTGTAGTCCGTCGTAACCAAAGTAAAGCGGAGATGGTCAAGGCAAATAAACCAATCAAAAAAACATTTTAAAAATTTTAATAATTTTTTTAATAAAATGGGCGCAAAAGTCCACATGCCGTTCTTATGTAACGTTACTGCCTATATCCTTTCTGTTTGCTTATAGAAAACTATTAATTCCATTAAATTTTAGGGCAAGTCGAAAGCGCCACTTAAGGAGGATTGACGACGTATGAGGCCAATGCACGCGACTTTGCTGAGCTAGCTAGTTCGTGAGATGTGGGACATGTGTGACGATGGCCCGATTATTACAACTAGAAGAACACCACGTACTTACTCTTTGACAAATAAGCGGAAGAACGTAATCTAACCTACCGAACGAACATCCCTTGCGCCCCTGGGTCTTTCTATACCCTACCTGCCTATGGTCTCCTTCGACCCATGATGTCTACAGAACTTACAGAGCGTGAAAAAACAGGTATTATTAGAATTGCAACAAATGGACCCATAAATAGTACTGTTGATATTACCAATTACGCCAATTAATATTCATCGCGAAACCGTTCGAAGTATTTTAAGATCTAATGACCCTTTTCAGTACTTAACCTGTAAATGCAGTTTTCAATAAGAGAAATCTCAATTTTCGGTACCGTATATAGACTTTATTGGACTACTGTGTATTCCGTATAAGGGTCCCGAAACACATTTTTTCGTCTAAAATATGCCTCCAATGATTCCAATTGGAAACAATTTTTTGTTTTTGGTTTTACTATCTTTAGTGACCGGCATACAACCAGCTTGATCCCCCTGTAGAGTCGAATTTTTCCAGTGCATCAATACCAATCCTGAGATTGAGAGCGATCGAAAAATGATTAGGCATAGTAAAGAGCAAAATTGCCCAATTAGAGCACACATACAAACTAATTCGAAAAAAATCGTAAAGAGTTCCATATGTCAAAGTGTCAAGTATCCAAAATTCAGATTATGTTTCTTAATCGATCGGTATAACAAAAGCTGGGGTCTATCTTAAGCCCTTTCGTGTGTTACATACATGCGCACTAATTTAATATGTCCTCTCCTCCAAGTCATGTAGGGTATAAAAACATATAGATCGCATACACATAATAGAATTTGTTGTCAGTTTGTCTTCAATTTTGAAATGTTCACACATTTTTTTTTTTGATTGCATTAAATTTTTCATTGTTTTAGGTTTCATTTCTATTTTTTCATTTTTATATATAGCTGTAAAAAATCAAAAAATAAAAATAAATTTTTTATAAAAAATCAATTAAAAGTAATGGAAGGCATCGACGAAGAAAGAGTGAGTTCCGTTCGAAGCAAGACTTCAAATAATACTAACTAACTACTAATGCTACGTTATGTTTAGGTCAATTTAAATCTAAACGAAATTTGGAAGGCTTGCCGTAAAATCCAGGATGCTATATTTCGTTATGGTTTTGATATATGTGCCGAATTTTGCCCACACGATCCCAAGGGAAAGGGTTTAATATCAGGTAAAATGATAAATAATTGAAATTAAATTGAATTTTTCAGTTCTCTCTACACGTTTCTCTTAACTGACGTAAATTGACGATGCGACTTTTAAAGAATCTCTTTTCAGCGCTATTTTGGGTAAATACAAACGGATTATTGGTTTATCCGATTTCGAGCTAAGAGAAGTTACGGATTATTTTCGTCTAAGAGATGGTCGTGTAGTCTATAAGCAATTTTGTAAAGTAGTGTGTAGTGAAAGTAAGTTTTCATTTATCTCTTGCTATCTCTCTCTCGCTCTCTCGCTCTCTCTCTCTCTCTCTCTCTCTCTATTTTTATCTCTTTCTATCTCTTTCTATCTCTCTCTGTCGCTCGCTCTCTCTATCTCTCTATTTCTATCTCTTTCTATCTCTCTCTATCTCTCTCTGTCGCTCTATCTCCCTCCGTCTGTCAGTCTGCTTTTATCTCTATCCCTACCCCTCTCTCTCTATCTATATACCTCTCTATCTATATCTCTATCTATCTTATCTACCTGTCTGTGTCTCTCTATCCCTGTCTGTCTGTCTATCTCTCTCTCTCTCTCTCTCTCAATCCACCCTCTCTCTCTATCTATCTCTCTCTCTATCTATCTCTCTCTCTCTCTATCTCTCTCTATCTCTCTCTATCTCTCTCTATCTCTCTCTATCTCTATCTGTCTCTATCTCCCGCTCTATATCACTATTTCTCCCTCTCTCTTTATCTCTCTCTCTATCACCTTACTCGCACACATCATAAATTTCCAATGTTTTATCTATTCTGGCCAGATCATGATAAATTCCAAAAGAAAGATTTAGCCACTGGCTTGGAGTGGAATGATCCGATGCATGTTAATGTTATCCCAAGGCCAGAAGATCGGCGACAAATATGTTTGATTTTAATAAAAATTGCTTTAGTCAGTCATTTACCTTTAAAGCCATACTTTCAAGATTACGAACTGGTACGATTATCTTACCGTTTATTAACCTTTACAGCATATCTTATTAAATATATTTAATGCGATAGATTTCGAACAACGTAGGCACCGTAACTGTTTCGCATTTCTCCAGAGTTTTGCATTTCTTAAAAATTCCCGTTTCGGATAATGATTTCCTATTGCTATTGAAACGATATTTAAAAGACTCATATATGGTCAATTATGTCGCTTTCATTACGCATATTGAAAGCATTATCGAATATCTGAAACAAAGAAATCTTACCGATAATGCTCAGGTTAGTTTTTAACATATTCTTCATACTCTTTTTCTATATGAAAAATGATTTTTCTTCTTTCATCTTCGTCTTTTCCTTCTTCATTTTACTTAAGCAAATCGTAAAAGATTTTCCTGGTTGTATAATCGATTTGGAATTGCCGGAATTGCCACCCGTAGAGGGCACAAATATGGCTCAACGGATATTCAAAGATTATTGCGATCATCCCAAAGAAAATAGAACCGATTGCGATGTAGTCGTTTGCATTCAACATCAAGTGTATAAAAATCGCGTACGTATTAGGGAATTTCTTGAGGGTTTCGATCTTTTGCATACCGGCACAGTGACAATAAATCAATTTGAACGTGCTCTACATAACATGGGTGTGGGTAAATACATTACTCAACGTGATTTTCAATTATTATGTTACCGCTATCGAGATCCAATTGATACAAATCGTATCATGTGGCGTATTTTCGAAGACGAAGTTGATCGCGGTAAGTTCAGTTTAAATTGTACCAAGAATCATTTCTACCTCTGTCTTTTTTTTTTTGGTTTTTTTATCTACAGTTTTCACAATCAAGAGACTGGAAAAGACTCCATTAAAGCAGGTTGAATCACCGCCAAAGAATATAAAAGAAATGCCTCGTAGAGGCTCATTGGATTGGCAAGAAGTTAGTGAAAAAACGCGCGATCTTTGCGAGGAAGCGATTAGGAAAATTCAAATACGTATACGCAACCGCAGACTTCACTTGCATCCGTTCTTCAAGAATTATGATAAGTAAAGGCTCGGCCCAAAACCATCACAAATATCAAAGAAATATTGCTTTTTTTTTACTAATTTGTATTATTATAAATTTCTTTCTATTAGAATTAATTCCGGGCATATACACTGCCGACAAGCTAATCAAATTTTCACTACCAATGGTATTTTATTATCAAATGATGAGTTGAACGCTTTGATCGATCGGTATGGCAATGAGTTAGGTTTCAATTATACACGATTCCTGGAAGACGCCGATCCGGCCGAATATGCAATACCGAAATTGATGCCACCGGCCAGTTTGCAGGCAGCGTGTCTTTCATTTAAAAATAATGCCGCCGACACCGAAAACGAAGAGCACGTTATACAATTACTTACGAAGGCCAAACGACAGGCCACTGTCAAGAGTATACCGGTAATAGACTTTTTGCAAGACTTTGATCGTCATCGTGAAGGAGAAATTCTCGAAGTCGATTTCCGTCGTGGTATTGATAATGCCAACATTAAGATGACTCCTAAAGAAATGGACACTATATGCAAAATGTAAGTCGAGCAGTGTCCTTTAGCTTTGCACACATTATCTTATGTTATCGACTTGTTTTTTCAATTTTTTTTTTAGATTCCGTTCGCCAAAACGCGCCTGCTGTGTACTATATCGGGACTTTTGCAAAGCTCTTGATGAAATATTTGTACAAATCGAAACGGTTACCGGTGATAATGAGATTATCGCTGTACCTCTTGTACATTTAGCTAACTTGGATTGTGTGGAATGCTTTATGAACTTTGAGGAACGTACCATTTGCTCGCAAGCACTTATGAAGTTGGCACGTAAACCGGATGAGATCTCCAATTTAAGTTCGGTCTTTAAAGATTTCGATCGTGAAAATTGCGGTACCATACGTAAAAATCAATTAATACGCGGCCTAACGGTACGTGATATGCATTACATGATCAGTAGCCGTGAATTTGAAGCCGTTTTCAAATGCTTCGGTGTGCAACGTGGTCTTGATTTAGAATTCAATTATCGCGAATTCCTAAACATCTTAAGCATTATATACCGCAACGGTCAAACTAAACGAAATTATTAGTAAGTGTGTGTGTGTGTGT